TCTCCTCGGTCCCTAGCCTTAGCTGTCCTTCGGCCTGTCAGGCGGTCAGTCAGTCGGTCGTCGGCCAGTCAGGCGGTCGCCCTGTCAGCGGTCAGCGGCCCGCGGCCCCACGAGGGCTCACTGCAGCATTTACCCACGAGCTGGAGAACGTCGCCGCCAACGACGAATAAATACGTACCGATTAGTATTTTAAATACCTACTTCCTCGGTCCCTAGCCTTAGCTGTCCTTCGGCCTGTCAGGCGGTCAGTCAGTCGGTCGTCGGCCAGTCAGGCGGTCGCCCTGTCAGCGGTCAGCGGCCCGCGGCCCCACGAGGGCTCACTGCAGCATTTACCCACGAGCTGGAGAACGTCGCCGCCAACGACGAATAAATACGTACCGATTAGTATTTTAAATACCTACTGTGGTAAGTAATCTTCAGTACGCTTTCAAGTCCGGTAATTTGGCAGGTGTTTGATTTTTCCAGTTTGGTTTGACCCCGGGACGGCGCGGGTGTGGCTGCGTCGAGCAGAAACACAGCCCGGAGAGGAAATGTCCCCGCGCTATCCTTTTGCCTTTGGGGAGTGGTAATCTAAATTTCCCTCCTTGTGCCCAGAGGGGAACATTTATCATCAGAAATGTCGTTTTTTAAATGCCAAACTTCTGGAAAGTGCCTTTGCTTTTGGAATCATTAGGTTTGGAAGGAAATTTCAGATCAGACACATCTAAAGTGGGATCCTGGCAAACATGGGTTACTCTTTTTTGCTTTGCCTTTTAAATTTAAAAAAATTATTAGTACATGTCTTCAGTCATAATGATTACATTCATAGTGGGGAGTTGGTGAGGTTACTCATTTTAAAACAACCATTTAGCCTGCACTTAGGAGGCTGAGGCAGGACAAATTCGAGGCCAGCCTTGAATACATAGTGAATTCAAGGTCGTCTGAACCAGTGAGACCCTGTCTAAAAAATAAGTAAATTAATTAACCATTTAAAATTTGAACTGTCAGCGTAAACACTGTTTACAGGAAGAATACATAGAAACATACAATAATTTCAGCATTTTTCAGAAATAGAAATTCTCAGGGAGCCTTCTTGATGCTAGGGTTTTCTGTATTCTGAGTAAATCAAATCTAATTTTCAGTGCAGTGAGTCCACATCCTAGAGGTTTGGTGGATTTCTAAAGAAAAATGGTCGGGAAATGTTTCAGAGGAATATACTCTCATTTCACAGCACTTGCTAATAGGAAACCTTTGTTTCTAATTGTCCTTAAATGTGTTTCTTCCTAAATGATGAAACCTTCTTTCCTCTTTCCTTCCATGCTTGAAGATGTGGCATTTGTAGCTACTATTTTTTTAAAAATAATAATAAAACAGGACCTAGGAAATTGTGGGTTTCACCTTCTTGTGTTTAGACTTTGGCTTTCCCTATGACCAAGGTGGAGCCTTGCTTCCAGGGCACCATCGGCACCTAAAGGGTTATGTGCATTGTAGCGTGCACAGGACGACACACCGAAGAACTAGAGAAAGAAAGGATTCACAAGAGGATGATGGAATTATTTTGAGCAAATTTTCTTTTCTCCAGAGTTTTTATTTTTGAGGATTTGAGGGTTCATTTTCTCTTGAAGGAAGAAAAAGACAAACATCACAATGCAGTAGTGTGCAGAAAATTCAAGAGACATTTCCTAAGGGTTTTCATTGTAGAAGTCTACTAATAAATTCAGAAAAAAAATAAGATGAGCTGTAATAAAAAATAAAAACTCTGGCCAGGCATTTAGTTCAGTGGCACTGCACCTGCCTTGCAGGCGCAATGTCCTGAGTTTGATCACTGGTACCCCCCCCAAAAAAAAAAAAAAAAGTAATAACCCAACCCAAACTCGTATGTTAGTGTCCTACATAGAACATGTCTCTCTTCTAGTTTTTGTTTTAAATTTCCCTTCTGAGGAGAATCTAATATGCCACTAAAAACTGGAGAAAAATAGTGTTCTTATTTGCATAAGTCTGAGTCTTGCTTCAGTCTCAGGATCTTGGGAAACAGGCACCACTGGGGCCTCCTTTGCCTCTGTTCTGGTGCTTAATCAGCAATTTTTCTGCTGCTCACAATAGGCTAAGAAACAGGCCCTCCAGGAGTGACAGTCTCCCCTGTTGATGCAGAAGCTCAATGCTTTTGCTTCCCTGTAGAATTTTAAATAATACTAAAAAACATATGCATGCCAACTCATGACCATCAGTGGTAGATTGTATGGCCCCAGGGAAGAATAGTGATTTCAGTTCATGGGTAATGAGAATTTCTCTTTAATACAAGAAGAAATAAAGAATATCTAAGAGGAAATAACATCAGGCATGGTGGCACACACCTGTTATCCCAGCACCTTGGAGGCTGAGGTAAGATTGCTGCAAGTTTGAGGCCAGCCTGGAATATATAATTAGTTCAAGGCCAGGCTGAACTGTATAATGAGACCCTGCTGAAAAGCGGGGAGGGGAAGAGGGAGGAGGAGATAGGGAATACATCTGTGGCTGCGGAACACCGTTATTCCTCTTTCATCTCCTACCTCATGAGTGATGAGTGACTTGATGTTTAGGTCAGTAAGGGAAATTCCTGGAGGTGGGGACCAGCACCCTTCCTCCCCTTGGCTCTTCCATGGTCACTGAGTAGTGTGTGGTTTGTGGCTGTGCTACGGCCGTATAACAGGCATCGGTGCTGTTGACACAGTTGTCCTATCGAGGGTGGTGCCCTCTGCACTTTCATTCCTTTTCCCTGTAGTTCAGGCTGCCACAAGGGGCCGAAAGGAAGCAGCGCTTTTCTAAAGTGTTCATAAAGACTTACTCCTGCCAAAAACCTGGTGAAAAGTTGGAGGATGTGGGGACTGCTGCAGAACAACTACTACAGAAGAGAAGCAAGCCCACCGCCTCCAGGCCCTGGCCCAAGTAGGAATTTTAAAGATATTTCACTTTATCTTCACACAAATCACAATGAGACTGTTATCATTATTTCCCTCTTCATCAAAGGAAACTGTTGTCCAAGATCACTCACCCAGGGAGGGCAGGGTCTGCTGTACCTGGCCTGACAGTTCCAAACCTGTGCCATCTCCTGTAGGGCTCTCTCCACTCTTCTGAAAGAGAAGATTCTCTGTGGCGTCATCCGTGTCTACTGTCACTGTCCTTGTTAGGATGTCCAGACACAGGTCTTTGTTTCAAGTAAGTATGCAGAGGACTGTAATACTGATTATACCCAAGGCAGGCTGTGAAGAGTTAACCCCACACTTGGCTTTTTTGATACCAGGGATCGAACTTAGGACCTCGCACTTGCAAGGCAAGTAGCAGAACCACTGAGCTAAATCCCCGGCCACAATTGGCTTTTGAAAAGTGAGTCTGGCCGAAGCCTATGTGTCGAGGTCAGAGTAACTCTCACCCAAATTCTGTTACCACAACTAAAACCTTCTGTCTAGGACAATGTTCTGATTACAACCATACATTTTGTCTCTTCTGTTCCTAATTTGATAATGCTTTGTTTGTCCTTTATGAGCCTAGTTTACATTAATTTCCATAGAAACTGCGCATAGCTTTCCTTCACTCCAGTTGACTGTCAATAAAAGTCAGTGCCTGCGACTGTCCAATGCCTTTGTCAGTCATCCTGGCACCCCACTTTCTCTCTTAGTTCTATCTCTTCTTAGTGTATTTGTTTTCCTCAGGCCTGCGTTGTATACTGGGTAGGTGGGTCCAGCATAAGTAGGTTTTTATTTTTCTTACTTTTCCCTTAAAGTAAGTTTTGTTCCCACCACCACCACCCCCGGTCCACTTCCCTGTTCTAGCCCTGCCCCGGGATCTCTGTCTCTGCAGCCTTACCTGATCTTCAAAATTCCAGCCTTGCTCTGGTTTGCATCTAAAATGTCCCCAAAAAGTCTCATGTGTAGGGCCAGGGATTTAGCTCAGTGGTTCTGGCACCTGCCTTGCAAGTGCAAGGACACAAGTTCGATCCCTGGTACCCACCCCCAAAGTCTCATGTGTGGATTCATCCATTCATGAGTTCAGGACTGAATGTGCTGTTAGAAAGTGGGGTTTGGTTTGAGGCTATCCCTGGGGCTGTGACCCAGAAAATTTGCTCCTGTCTCAGTGCCCTGTTGTTCTCCTGGCTCTGCTTCCTTGTAGCCATGAGGTAAACAGCAGTCTTTCGCCAGGCCCTTCCACCATACCATTTCTGCCTTGGAGTACACCAACCATGGACTGCACCCTCTGAAAACTGAGCCAAATTCTGCCCCAGCAACAAGCCTCTCCTCCACACCTTATAGCTTGACTTAACCTAAGAATGGAAGAGACAAAGTTCCTGATGACAACATGACCATGTTAGTTCTCAATATATTCAGAGGGTTCATATCCCGAGAGTTGGCACGGAGCCCACTTTCCTTACTCCAGCACACCTCAGGTTTCCCCATCAGGGAAGCTCCACGTGTACCTTGGGTAATATGGAACTAGCCCTGCTCCACACTTGGGCTGCTTTATAGAACAAGCTGCATGCACTTGATGGAAGAATGAACTATATGCTCTCAGCCAGCACCTGCTCACCAGAAAATCCATGCTCAGGGAATGCACTGACTTGAATCACCCCAAAGTAGTTCTATCTCAGGAAGCCACAAATCCACTATAATGCATCCAATAAAATGTACTTGTTCTGTCTTAAAAGAGGCTGGGTACCACAGAAAGTAACTTTCTGTGAAAGTTAGAAAGCTAGAGAACCATCTCTAGCTTCAGGATGACTGCTTCCTGATTTTTCTCAAATTAGCCATATTCTCATTCAGAGTTTCTTAATTAGAAAGAACAAGAGTAGGAAAGGCAGCCAGAGATTCAGCTCAGTGGTTCCACCACCTGCTTTGCAAGGGCAAGGTCCCAAGTTCGATCCCTGATACCAAAAAAAACAAAAGAGTAAGGAGAGGCAATGACTTAGAGACTAACAGCAAAGTTTTTTGAAATATCAACCTAACAGTCTTTCAGAATAAAAGGAACTCAGTCTTGCAGAGAATTTGGTCTATAATTTTCTTTTACTTTATAATCAAATCATGCTAATGTAAACCAAAAAAACAACTTGAACTAAACATGTATTTCACTCATGAGCAATTACAAAGCAGGCATTTCAAATCAGTGTTAATCTAATGTTTTTAAAACAATTATTGTATTTCAAGGTCCAATATCTGTCAAGTAAATCACTGATTTCTGATGTAAAAGTCTAATTAGTTTACAGCCATTTCACATCTGCCTTAAAGTTTTTTTTCATGATTTCATTCTAAATACACAGAATAAAAGATGGTGTCAGGGCCAGGGACTTAGCTCAGTGGTTCCAACACCTGCCTTACAAGGGCAAGGATCTGAGTTCAATCCCCGATACCTCCCCCCCAAAAAGTAGTGTCAGTTCATTCATGAGACCCTAACCAGATTTTCCACATACTGTCTCAGAATTTAAGGATAAATTCCCACAGGGTGTAAAATGCATCATAAAATGGCATTATTTTTTTCCTGAGGGTGGAAGGGGAAGGACTAGGCAGGATAGCATATTAAATTGTACCATAGAGGCCAAGGACTTTGCCCAGTGGTTCCATTGCTTACCTCACAAGTGCAAGGTCCTCAGTTTGATCCTCGGTGCCAAAAAACAAAAAAAAACAATAGCAAAGACAAAATCATACCATTACAGACATGCAAGACTGTTATCCAATCTATAGAACTTATATACATTTTGATGACTTAGAAAAACAAAGCAATCAGGAAAAAAAAAGAAAAAATCATTTGTGACAACCCTAAAAAGCTTGGCATAAAACATACTTAGGAACTTTTGGTGTGGTAGGAATTCTCTAATTGTACCATATGGGCCTTTCAAAAGTAATAGAAGGCCAGTTTCTGGTAAGTTTGTGGCTGAATATTGCATTCCAGCCGAATGAAACATGATGTGGGTTTAACCAAGGTGGATACCTCCCCTTAGCACATAGAGAAAAAGCATCATGTCAGTGCAAAATGGACCAAACTGTTTTCAGGACATCTTTAAAATTGATACCGGTTGGAAAAGGGAATTTTCCTTCCTGAAGTGAAGTCCTCCCAATTTAAGGCAAAATCCATCAACTACATCTGCTGCAGTTAATCCATCAACTACATCTGCAGTTAAAAATGTATTTTTGCTTATTTAGTTTTCTCCTCTGAGTTACTGAATTCGTTTGGCGTAACTCTGTGCTGTGGAGTTAATGGTAGACAGGATAAAGTAACACACCACCACAGCCACCAACTTCTCAAACACCCAGGACAGCCAGTTTTTTGCCTGGGGTGGACCCACTTCCTTCCTATGGTGCCCCTTTTGCTGCTGGGCCTCGAGGTATTCCTGGAAGGGCTTCTGCAGAGATGGACCTATGCTTGGGACAGCACCAATGAAAGCCACCATGTGCTCCACAATGTCCTTGCTGAATGTTATAGAAACAAAGACTTTATGGATATGCATTTTAGTCACTGCTGTTCCAATCAGAGTTGCACCAAAGAAGATCCAAAAAGGTTCAAGAGGGGCCAGGGATTTAGCTTAGTGGTTCTGCCACCTGCCTTGCAAGCATCCTGAGTTCAATCCCTGGTACCAAAAACAAAACAAAAAGGTATGAGAAAATGTCCATGTTATTCCAGCAAGACCAAATAGAGGATTTGGAATAGAAGCACAGGCCAATATTAAAAAAAAACAAAACAAAACAAAAAAAAAACAAAAAACAAAAAAAACCCCAAACTTCTGTATGAGTCTCTGAACTGTCAGGGCAGTTTGTGAGGAAAGTTCTGTGCAGACTGGGCATGTTCCAGCATCTCTTCAAATTCCTGATACTCTTCAACATCAGGTTCAGCGCCTGAGAGGCAAGCTGCCCTGGCCATGAAATATGGAGGCAGCTCTCCAATTGCTGTACTAATTCCCCACACACAGGCCTCAACCCTCACTTCCAGATGATACTCCACAAGGAACTGATTCATCTGGACAAATAATCTGATCAGGATAGGGTAGTTAAGGAAAATTAACTGCATCACATTCATAAGCAGCTAATGTAACCAGCTATGTATGGCCCCAGATAAGGCAGAAGAAGTGTGTGGCCCTGTTTGAAGCCCCACAGGAGACAGAATTCCCAGGCCTATCCAGTAGGCATTAATAAATAGTTTCTCTACATGCTGCACATGCTGTTGATGTGCTCCTTCAACATAGTGCATAGCAAGCAGCAGTAAAAATGACACCACAGTGTTTTGATGATGCCCTAATTTTGAGGTCCATTCCTTTAAGATTACAAGGATTTCCAGGGTGGTTGTTTCCACAGCACAATATTCTGTCTTTCTGATCCCTCTTTTTCATTCATTGAAGAGGGTTTGTGAAATTTCCATTGTATCATTCTTTGCCCACTGCTACACATCGCTGGTCACAATTTTTTTCCATTGTCTGCCATTTCATTGATCAGTAACTCTTGAGGAGCCTCTTGGACCCCAGCTTCTCCAGATCTCAGGATCCTGGAAGCAACTCTAAATGTGTTTTGTTTTGTTTTGTTTTGGTACTGAGGATCGAACTCAGGTCTTTGTGCTTGCAAGGCAGGTGCCAGAACCACTGAGCCAAATTCCCAGCCCTCTAAATGTGTTTTTTGTGAGGTTTCGTCTTTAAATTAAAACAGCCAAGAGTATGTACCCTTCGGGTTTGTTCTGACATCTCTAAATCAAGTGTTCTTTTTGTTCACATATAAAGGAGCAATACCAAAGATTAGGTTTTATTTTGAAGTATTAAGTTGAGCTTCATAACCTTAGATTTTAACTTGCAGTTTTTCTCAAGTAACCCAAATGATGAAGCATATATTGCTAAGGACAGGCATTGGCTGCAGAGGAATTCAGAGCACCAAACATATACATTACTTTTAATCATTTGGATAATTATAAGAATGATAAGAATCATACTGGGCATGGTAGCAGAAGCTGAAGCAGGAGGATCACCCAGAGTTTAAGGCCAGTTTGGGCTATATAGTGAGTTTTAGGCCAGTCTGAACTACATAATGAGGCCCTGTCTCAGAAAACAAAAATCAGCTATTAATACACTTTTGTTAATAATCACTTCAGGGATGGGGACAGGAATGTAGTTCAGTGGTATAGTCTTGCCTAGCATGCTCGTAAGTTTGGTCCCTAGCACTGAAAAAAAATTTTTTTTTAATTTAAAAAACTTTCTTGCTTTAAATAGTACACTAGATATTTTAGTAGCACATGTCAATCTTCAAAGAGCCCTTCTCTAGAAAAATATTGTATTTGTTGTATAGACTGCACAATTTTTTAAACTGTGCTAGGTACTGAGCCCAGGGCTTTGTGGATAGGAGGCAAGCACTCTGCTCCAGGTGACAGTTAATGAGGCTCTGCAGCACTCCCGAATATCTCCACAGAACAGCCTCAGACATATGAAGAGTCAAAAGAACCATCACCTATACATTATGAAATGCAAACATGGACTCATAACTTTTCTTGAAAAAACAAAATGACTTGAAACCTAACTCTGGTGGCCAAGAAGAGACTGTAAATTAAGAATGAAGACTGGGGAGATTTGGGCAGTAAAGCTCAAGAATCCAGTTGAAACCACAGTGTTAGGAGGTGGCCCATCTCAGGGAAGAGCCCGGCCAGCTACCTGAAAGTTCCTCTTCACCTCCTTACCAGAAGCAGCTATCGGGCGCCACCTGTGACTTCACTGTTGTTTTCAGCACTGAAACAGCCCCTGCAGCTGAACCCAGTGACAGGTTTACAAGCCTAGAAAGATTAGAAGCTACAGGTTTTGTTGGGGATTTTATCTTCTCCCTATGTGTCTTCTAGGGGTAAACTGGTCACTGAAATAATTCAAGTAAGAATTTTCTGCATCTTTAAAAATGAGTATTGAATGACTTGGGTCACTGGATTTTTTTTGTTTTTTAGTGAAGAGATATACTTTATGAATTATAATCCAACCCTTGTCATTTTTTCCATCTAGGATGTGTAAATGTTTTTTTTTTTTCATTAGCAATATCAAAAAATCAGTATGGACTCAAGTAATTTAAAACTTACCTATATGAAGAGGGTATAAGTAAAGAAAAAAGATGGAGCAATATGTTAAAGATTTTCTCTGGGTAGTGGATTCCTAGGTAATTTTGCTTGGGTTTTTTGTATTTTGCAAAATTTTTAGAATAAATTACCTTTACAATGAAAAGTTTAATCCACTTACACAATACAAACCATTAACTACTATGCAAATGAGTAGGTGCACAGGGAAGTCCAGATGGAAATGAACCAAAAGATGGCCTTTCACCATTCATGCCTCCCTCTGTTCATTCACCCAGTAGGTACAAGGTGAGTACCTAGAGCCATGCATGGTGCTGGGCACTGCTATCTCCAGTGAACTTTTAGTATTTTCTTTCTTCACTTTCATACTTTTCAAAAGTTTCATTGTGAATGTTTTTACTTTAAAGATGGTGGAGGAGTATATTTATTTCTAAAAGATTCTGATAGTTATAGTTCAGAAAAGTTGTGCACCTGTTTTCACAGATAAGCTTTTGTGATAGTCACATAATTTTAAAGTACATTATTCAGCTTGGAGTGATAACACATGTCTGTAAATCCTAGCACTCAGGAGGCTGAGGCAGGATGATCACAGTTGAGTTCAAGGCCACCCTAAGATACATAGTGAGTTCAAGGCCAGCCTGGATTATACAGTAAGATCCTGTCCCAAAATTCCTAAATAAATAAATAGCTGTTATTCCCTAGGAAGGTTTCCCCTGCCCCTTGTAAAATTCATTTCTTTTGCAAACAACATATCCGCCTATCTTAATAGTAACGCATACTTTTTGAAGAGCCAGTTTTTTTAATGAATTTATTTAGTACATTATTTAAATATCATAGGATGAAGTTTTTTTACCTATACCAACTGTTTTGGAGTCATAAAAATATAAAAAATATACAATGTAAAATAAATCTGAATTTACATAAATCAGTTCCTAGACCGTGTCTTTTTGTGAATGAGATTTCTCTTTTTCATTCTTTTTCTTCTGTTTTTCTTCCGCTTGTTTTTCAAAATAATCTTTGAGGAAACAGTTCAGCTGTGGCTCACACTGGCTAGCATGCTGCAACCCATCTTCCCTTCCTGAAAAGACACAAACTGTGAAACCAATGTCCTTCATTGAATAGGGGTCCCTGTGTTACTACATCAGACACCCCCCAAAGTGACAAATCCGGGTCAACTTCTGCCCGAGCCACCCCCAAGTCAGTTTAATTCAAATACTTGACATAATGTCCATCTTCAGTTCACCTTCACAGTGTTGGATCACACGTCCCCACAAGCCATTTCTCCGCAGACAGGCTAAATTTCCCACAATCAGCAGATGCCTCCGGCCTCGGGTCAATGCAACATTCACTCGTGTTTCTGAGTCAATGAACCCTACGTGTCTCGTCCTGACACAGGACAGAATAATAATCTCCTTTTCTGCCCCCTGGAAAGCGTCCACTGTGGACACCTGCACAGTTTTCAAGTCAGGGTGGCTAAAGTCCGCAGCGCTGAGGGAGCGACAGAGCTGTGGAGAAAGAGGACAGAGGTCACCCAGTACACGCGTCTCAAAGAACCTGGGCCTGTGACCTCCTTGTGGCCACTGCCATCACTGCCTAACAGGGCCACTGTCCACTGCTGTCTCATGACGCCACAGACTTGGCTAGGTAGCTCCTAAATAATGCGTGGCCAGGTGACAATATTAAAATAAAATCAAAAGTGATTAGCGATTGCTGGGGAACTGTTTTGGGCATGCTAATTTATAGCTGATAAATAAGCTTAAATGAAAAAGAAAATGACTAAAAGAACAAAACTGCTTAGAAGTTACTGGCTCGGGTATACATTGGTATCTGGTATCCATCCTTGATTTACTGATAAAATGTAATAAAAATGAAAGAACATTTTGGAAAACATTCAGTCCCATCTGTCCCCAAACACAAAGCATACACCATATATTCTTCCCCTTAATTTGTTTATTTGTATTTTTGCTCTAACAGCTGTAAACTGAATTTAATTAATCCTTGTTAGGTTTATATTGAATTACGCAGAAAAAAAGCCAGACCAGGAAAAAACATGTTTCTTCTTTAGTAATATATAGTCCCAAAAGTTTTTCAAGCACCAAACCAAACTACTATGAATGTAATATCAAATGTTGTAATCTATAATTTAATATGCGAAAATGTCTTAATCTGGGATGCAAACCTTGTACATCTGGGATTTGTATAATGTTATCACCCCAATCATAGAGCCTGCAATGCCACTTGCGATCAGTGATTGAATCAGCTTGAGTGTAAAGGAAGCTTCGGCCACATTATGAAAGCTGTTATCTCTTTCAATCTGGAATGAAAACAGACCCTAAATTGTATTTCCCAGAAAGGTTACAGAAGGACCAAGCAAATTCATTCAAACAACAACAAAATTAAACAGGATACTAAGCCACTCTAGTGCCCATAATACTGCTGCTGTCACCTGCTCCTGGCCTGTGACATTATAGAAACACAGGGTGGGCAGCCAGGGCACTAAGGGGCCCCTCTCCACCTCCGACACACCATCCCTTAGGTCTCCTCCGTAGAACAGATCATTAGCGATGGCACTGATGGCAGGGTGACAGCGGTACTGGGTTCTCAATGGAACTGGCTCGTGACCCTGAGAGAGTAAAATGCAAAGATGTAAGCAACTAAAACATACCTTTTTCTCTAGGAAAATAAAAATATTTTAAAAATTTAATTATTACTGTAAGTTAATTACAACCAAGATAGAATATTATAAAAGTATAGAATATAACAGCAAATCTTTGCCTGATTAGCTAATAAGCTTGGCCCCTAACATTATGCCTTTATAATCTACCTGGAAATTTTCCTAATACTGAATTTTAAAAGATCTTTTACAGAATCAGAAAACATTATTGATAACTTATTAACTTCTTCCCTGTGTAAAACCATTTTTTTTGTTTTGAATCTTCAGAGAAGTTTCCAATTTCATTCAAGCATCCTAACATCCAAGATTCATCTACTTTAGCAGTCTTCTGGAATATGTTCTTTATTTGGGAAAAGTTCTATAGTGCTGTTAGAACACTGAATAGCCACAAGGAACTCTGATTAATAGTAATACATAATTAAGTACAAGATGATCATGTGGATGAAATATCTTATATGCATTTTTGTATACTAATATGTATAAATATATATTATCCCATGTGCTTTTTAAATTCACATAAGTGGAATTTTACTGCAGGTATATTATTGAACTTTGTTTCTTTTAATATCTACTGTATTTTTGAGAATTATTTATACAAATAAAGTTGATTCATCTTAAATATGCTGTATTAGTCTAGCCTTTATTTTCCCTTTTAAAATTCCAGCAATTAAAAATATACTTCACTTTTAAAATTTCTACAATTAAAAATATAATTAAGCCAGGTATGGTGGCACATGACCATAATCCCAGCACTTAGGAAGCTGAGACAGGAAGATTTCAAGTTTGAGGCCAGCCTGGATTATACAGCCAGATTCTGCCTCAAAAGACAAATAAATACCATTAAAAAGGTATCAAAAATGGATAAGTGATGACAGAGCAGCATGTATTGTGCATTTTATGTATTTGTCTACACTGGCTTAAACTATTACTGGGAAGATGCTTTTGGGAGAACAGCATTGGGGCCAAGAGTCTCCACACTGCTAGATTCCTCTTGAATTTTTTCTTTTTTTTGTTTTTTTTTTTTTGTTTTTTGAGACAGGGTCTCACTATGTAGTTGAGACTGACCTGGTACTCACTATGTAGCCCAGAATGGTCTCGAACTCACAGCAATCCTCCTGCCTCAGCGTCCCAAGATTCCTCTTGAATTTTGAACCATGACTGTACTGCTAACTCAAAAATGGTTTAAGGATTTAAATTTTTAATTAAGGCTTTTAAAAAGCTTCTGAAGGGGCCAGGGATTTAGCTCAGTGGTTCCACCACCTGCCTCACAAACGCAAGGTCCCAAGTTCAATCCCTGGTTAAA